TCAAGAGAAGCTGCTGAAGAAGTGTTTTAATTCTTTGGCGTTACCAACTAAGGGGAATGCAAGTGCGTTGCCGGCCTTTTTAAAAGAGTACGCATTTTTCTTGAATGTTCATAAGCCTAGTCCTGATAAATTGCTGATGGTAGTCAATTCCACAAGGAAGCATTTTTCGATTTCGATCAAGTGTGTATAATGAAATGGCACTTTATTTTATTGATTTTTATTGATCTTAGTTGATCACTTCTAAATGTTTGCAGTGTACAAAAATATTAACAATCAGCTGAATCGGCTTTTCCACAGCGCAACTTTCATCATCAACATCATCATCATTACAGCCCTTCACAAGTCCACTGCTGAACATAGGCCTCCCCCAAGTAATGCCACAAAGCACGGTCCTGAGCCACCTGCATCAATCGAACTCCTGCATGTCTTACCAGGTCGTCACTCCATCTAGTGGGGGGTCGCCCTACACTACGCCTACCGGTACGAGGCTGCCACTCGAGAACCTTTCTTCCCCATCGGTTATCGGTTCTTCGAGCTATATGGCCGGCCCATTGCCACTTCAGCTTACTAATCCGTTGGGCTATGTCGGTCACTCTGTTTTACTGCAGATATCCTCATTTCTGAGTCTATCACGCAGAGAAACTCCGAGAATAGCCCTCTCCATTGCTCGCTGAGCGACCTTGAGCGTCCTCATACGGCCAGCAGTGAAGAACCACGTCTCTGATCCGTAAGTCATCACTGGCAACACGCACTGGTTTTACACTTTAGTTTTCAGAGATTGAGGTATATCTGACGAGAAGATGTATCGTAATTTCCCGAACGCTGCCCAGCCGAGTTGAATCCGTCGATTGACCTCTCGGTCGAAGTTGGACTTAACTAGTCGGACTATTTGTCCCAGGTAAACGTACTCGTCAACAACTTCGAGCATAGTGCTCCAAACAACTACCGGCATAGGTGAGACATGGACATTAAACATGATCATTGTTTTGTCCATGTTCATCTTAAGACCTATCCGTTGGGAGACACCATTGAGGTCATTGAGCATAGTGCTAAGGTCCTCCAGAGATTCTGCCATAAGGACTATATGGTCGGCAAATCGAAGGTGAGTGATATACTCGCCATTGATGTTAATACCGTATCCTTTCCAGTCCAGTACCTTGAAAACGTTTTCCAATGCAGCGGTGAAGAGTTTCGGGGATATAACGTCACCCTGTCTTACACCTCTCTGCAGTTGGATAGGTTTCGAGCTCTGATTCGGTACTTGGATAGGCATCGTAGCCCTACGGCACAAACACTTCAGCACTTCGATATACTGACAGTCAACTTGGCATCGATGAAGGGACTATAGCACCGCCCAAATTTCAACGGAATCAAAGGCTTTCTCATAGTCCACATACGCTAGGCAAAGTGGCAGATTGTACTCTTCGGTCTTCTGTACAATCTGCCGCAGGGTATGTATGTGGTCTATGGTACTGAAGCCTTTTCTGAAACCGGCTTGTTCGGGAGCGCAACTTTACGAGACAATTTCAGTTTCCTCTCGCTTGCGGACAAGAAGAGAGTGCGATGTTTCAGTGCGAAGGAGCGGATTTTACATGTTATTAAAACATTTGATTTCTCAAACTGTAAATTTTCTCACTATATTTTTACGAGCTTGAGATCCGTGACAATAAAAATTGCCGATAGAATTACCTAAATTAACACTTTAATTTTATTTACACCAATTATAACTTAAAACACTAACAATTAATCACACTGATTCACTTTATTCCGCTCCGAAGCTTCGTTTGTCTCGCCAAATTCAATACTTCCCCGATCGCGTATTGCAGCGCATTTATATAGGGCTCTTCCACGAAAACATCCAGAATATTCCAGAATATTCGAGTAAATACGCGCGCCAACCGACCAAGCGCAGAAAGTTCGAGTGTGGGGCTTCCAGAAAGATTAGTTCTTCAGTTCGATACTAGATGGCGCTATCGGTTGAAAGACTAGTCATATATTTTCTGGAAAGCTCCCCTCGCTCTCGTCCCTGACACTAGATGGTGCTAGTGTCGGGTACATGACGTCGATTTAGACGCGTAACAATATTTTTCTACGTTGGTCCCCTTACCCTTCTATTAAAACTGTGTTGTTTGAAATAAACTAGTTTAACTAGTATTTTTTATAGGATAGGGTGACAAACGAGTACACAATCCACCTATAGACATCTACATCTTTCCTCGATTACGAATCAAAATGAAGATCCGTTGTCACCCGTGAGGACTAAGATGGAATGCCTCGTTTCCAGTTAAAAGGGTCTCCAGTTCTCTACACTCACCAAACAAAACATAGCAGCATTAAGCTGCTATTTTACGCTGGTGTTCTGTGAGAGCGTGGTCCTGCTCCGGTCGAGCTACAACTATACTACTGATATTACTGCAGCATGGCTCTACCACGTATAAAGTAGGCCCTTTAAATTATCTAATTTTAAAGGTCCTGGCCTGCTGAACACAGGTTTACCTCTCATTTTTGGTGGAAATATGGAGCAATTTTATAGATATAAAGTGATAAAAACGTCAAATCCGTCAAGTGTTACGCGACATACTAAAGTCAACTTCAAACGGAGACTACTACTCAAAGACTATGTTGATATTGAATGAAATCATTATACTGACTCTTTATTTTCCTCGAAACTTTATTTAGTGACAGAAGTAGATAAGTGGGAAGTGTATTACCTAGTACCTATTTAGTTTAGTCCACTGCGCTACTCTGAAGTGTATTTACGGACTTTACATGTCTAAAAATATTTTTAGTTTTTAGATATGCAAGATTTGTCATCGGTTTTTTTTGTTGGCTATTTTTTCTTTCACTTCCGTGCACCTGGTAAATCAACACTTATGATTACAATTAAAAATACGTGTGGCACTCGGAGACTGCCGCGGTAAAGCTATTGCATAATATTTTTGTCAACTTATGCAATTATAATTATTTATTTATGTAGTATTTTTTATTTGTTTTTTTCTTTGATATTAATTCAAGTTACAGCAGCTATTCTACACGCATACGTCTAGTCGCACGCACACAAACACCGAGCCGAAGTCTTCCGAACTGAAGCGACGTTACGGCGCCTCTACACGTTGGCCAAGACAGTGGCGAATGTAGTGGCCAATAGCATTGGCCAACGTGTAGACGGGGTGTTTGGGCTTCATTGGTATGTATTGGAACGATGGCCCACAAGTTGGCGCGAGATCCATGTGGAGTCAGTTTTTTACAAAAGATCAAAGGATTGTTGGCAGAGTTTGGTCGCCGCGTCCACACGTTGGCCGCGAGTTTAGTTTGCTACAAGCTCCCAGGGTGATTACACGCATCTGATTAAAATTTTATATTCACGCTTTGTAAGGTGGATGGCCCAATTACCAGCCTTTTAGTGCCAATTTCAACTTTAAACATTCCTACTACTTTAATTAGCACGATTCAATTATTTTTAAACATTTGTTTTAATCGATAAGCTATTTATAAAAAAAATAATGAACATTTATTTACAATTAGATTATTACGAGAGACAATTTTAAAATGAAAAAAATAATTAAGCACGTCGTTTATACGAGGTAGAACCATGCAGTTATATTAGAAGTACAGTTGTAGCACGAATGGGTCGGTTCGACCGGGGAAGGACCACGCTCTCACAGAATATCAATGTAAAATAGTAGCTTAATGATTGTGTGTTTCGTATACTGAGTGTAGAGAACCAGAGACACTTTTTAAATGAAACGAGGCATTTCATCTTAGTCCTCACGGGTGAAAACGCATCTGCAGTTTGATTCGTAATCGAGGATAGATGTAGATGTCTGTGGGCCACAGCAACCACTTACCATCAGGTGAACTGTGTGCTCGTTTGTCACCCTATCCTATATAAAAAACGCGTCGATTTCTTATAATTTAATCGTGCAAGTTTTCGAATCATCATCATCATTACAGCTCTTCACAAGTCCACTACTGAATATCTTCCTCCAAAGAAAGCCGCAAAGCATGGTCCTGAGCCACTTTCCTTGTCATGAGTTTTTCATTTATGTTCTAAGTTATAATTAGTACCTATTATTAAGTCAGCGTTAATTATATTTATTGCTATTGTTTTCAAAAAATAATAAAATTACCAATAAATTATAAGGTGTTTTTTATATACATCAAATGTCTGATAGAAAAGCAAGTACATGTTTTCTAAACTTTAAAAACCAAACCCAATTTTAAAACATAGACTTATCGATTATAACTCCTTTAACTTTAAAATAAGTTTAGTTCTAATTAATGGTATTTATTGCAGTTTCTGATGCATGTAAAGAATAAATAAAGCTTATCGTATATCTATTTACAGCCCATTAATATTCACTATTCTTTTATAATTATTTTATAAAAACGTTACCCCCCACACTTGGATTGTCTCTTGTATCGCGGAGGCAACTTACAAACGTAAATTGCATAAGGACACACATCCAGACCCGAAACAATTATTTGTAGGATATACAAATACTTGTACCGTGCGGGATTCAAACCCGCGACTCCTGGCACAGTTACTCATTGCCAAGCCACTGCGCCACGGAGCCGTCGTCTAAAATAAAATAAATTCGTCCGCACATAAACGACGTTAGACAATGCACGGCCTTCAAGCCACACCTCCGTGTCCGTCGGAGTGGGGAGCGTGAGGTTTTTTTTCGTTACGGAATTTCTGGATTCGGTCCCCGCGCTCAAGGTCCGCGATAGAAGCTATGCAATAGCTTAATAATACCATTGGTGCCGGCGGAGATCGAAGCAGGCTAAAATTACTTACAATTCTACTTTGCATTTTCTACGAATTTAAGTAGCTTCTACGGCCTTAGCTTAAATGTATAAAAAACTTGATATTTCAAACAATTTTCACAGATTTCTTTTAATATTATTTATTGAGCGCTGAGTAACATCCACTTTGTTATATTTCGTTTGCCTCGGATCCTGAATCTGACAATTTCAGGCTATAAATGTCACAAGTTTTATGATGTTTTCGATGCCTGGTATTTTTCATCCTGAAAAAAGCAACTGATGTTAGTGTTAAACTTCAGAGTTTTTTAGTTAAAGTTAGAGAGTTAAAAGCAGAAGTTTTTCTTAACTTAATAGATGTAACGTAGGTTAACGATTTTATTTTGCAGTATTTTTTTTAAATGATATTTATACTTAAGCTCTTATCTATAATAAATTTTAATCATCTAGGTTAAATCAGTGAAATAAATTATCTAAGTGTTTAAAGCGATATTTATAATCACTTAAAATCATCTATTGATAATGTGCCACGTTCATTTATGTACATTTACGGAATGGGTATCGTGGTTACTAGCTCTAATCGCGAAAGGGAGCTCGGTTTAGGTTTATCTATTATTTAATGCAGGGTTATTTATTATTTAATGTTTAATTTGAATGAATTGAATCCCACAATAAGTAAATTTTAGCCCATAAAAATATAAATGTAAAAAAGTTTAATAATGAAAAACGAGCGTGCTTATGCCATATATATATATATATAAATAATATATATATATATATATATATATATATATATATATATATATATATATATATATATATATATATATATATATATATATATGTTTAAACGTGAATAAGTAAATTATGTATGATACAAAGACAAATGTGCGCTATGTCTTTGTCGTCACGCGTACGCCAGCTTACTACTCAAATCAAGCGTGCGTAAAGAAGTTTTACTTCAAAAAGGAGCCAAGTTGGGAATAAATGACCACGCTTGGGATTGTCACTTCTTTGATTCTTAATCGAGGATAAATGTAGATATCTATGGGCCACAGCATCCACTTACCATCAGGTCAACTGTGTGCTCTTTGTCACTTTTAATCTATTAAAAAAAATATACAGGTGTTCAGTAATTAATTGACACTACAGTGATATTAGTAGTATAGTTGTAGAATGAATGGGTCTGCTCAACCGGGGTAGGACCACCCGCTCACAGAACACCAGTGTAAAATAGTAGCTTAATGCTGCTGTGTTTCGTATGGTGAGTGTAGAGAACCGGAGACCCTTTTTACTAGAAACGATGCACTCCATCTTAGTCCTCACGGGTGACAACGCATATGCATTTTGATTCGTGATCGAGGATATGGAGGATACACGAGGATACACGTCTATGGGCCACAGCAACCACTTACCATCGGGTGGACTGTGTGGACTGTGTGATAGGGTATCCTATAAAAAAATTTGAAACTGGCCGCGTATCTCATAGACATAGATATAGCACCGTTTTTTCATCTTGTCTAGGAAGAGGTCTATACCAATATGCATGGAAACATAATATGGGTTACTTTATAAAATTTGTCACAAAATTTTAAGACTTACGTTTTTAAGATATCCGATCAAAAATTTGTTATCTTCTGCGATGTGATCAGTAAACTTGCTTATATCGTACACACCTGAGCCTTGAATTGAGTTCAAGTAATTTATCCTTAATAGATTTGCTATAAAGTCTTCGTAGTGATTATCCTTGTCATCCTCGTCTTGATATTGCCTGTTGTAGTAAATTTGAAATTTATTGAACAACTCGGGTGCGTCCTTTAACTTATAATATGGCTTCTTTTTAGTCGCCTCACTTAATGTCACGATAGATAAAGCAAAGACCAAGGCGTATTTCAAAAAAGACATTATGTTCGTTTTTAACTGTAGAATGTTGAAACAGTCTTATAAATGGCCAGATTTTTATAACCATGACGATTGCATTAACGAAAAATAAATAGTAAAGATTATAAAGAAAACAATACGTATTATATTATCGTATAATTTTCCATGATATGCACGTTTATTTCAATGCAGTTAATTTATCAGTATAGATCGCGTTCCCAGTGAAACAAATTGCCATACTTAATAAGAATTATATTATTTGTTTCTTATATATATTCAAGAAGCGTTACCGAATAAAAAGTAGTTTATTTTTAATCTCAGCGTGAATGCATTACATTTTTAATAATATGTATGATTTTTAAGATTTTAGTGTTTATTACACGAATTAAAAATTTTACATCATAATGTGACCAATTGCAAACAAATGGGGCCACGATGGCTCAAATATGCCTTTTTTAAAGTAACTACCTATTCCTCACTAGCGTTAAGGTTGTATGTAAGTTAGTTTTTGTAAAATTGAAATGTTTTTTTTTATATTAATTAAAATATCGATATGGGTTCCAGGATGCATAAATTATCTATATAGAAAATAGGTTTTTAACATGGCAGTTATTTTTTTAAATATGAAAATATTTTCACTCTTGTATGAGCCGTGATAGCTCAGGGACTAAGTTGCGCTCGCAGTAAATTTCACAGTATGTTCCCGGGTGCGTTCCCCACCAGCACTAATGAAATGTTTGTTTTAATTAATTGTAATTTTAAGTGCTGATTTACTACGTTTTCGGCAATGAAGGAAAACATGATGAGAAAAAGTTTTTTTTTGTTTAATTAATATAACTACTTAAAATCGAATATTCGTAGCATGCTACCTACGAGTACGTTTAGAGCACTACGATTTTTGTTCAATTTTCATGACAAATTTTCAATATCCGCTTACCAACAATTTTGATAAATTAATAGGTACAAATCATAAAAACGTCGAAGGTAGTTTTAAGCTTTTCCGTAAAATATACGATTTTACTATCCAAAGATGCAGTGTTTCTTTTTAAATTAGCACAACTAAAGCATTTGTCACAGTAAAGTGGAATTTATGCGATTGAGTAACGAAATATTTTATGATGTTTTCTGATTCACAATCGGTTTTAAAACCTTTAATAGAAAATAATCCTCAATTGCCAAAATAATCTTAAAAAGTAAGTCTTTCTGTTATTATAGGTGCATTTCATCTAAGTCCTCAGGAGTGGCAGTAAATGTTTATGAGTCACAGCAACTCCTTGCTTGTTTGGTGTTTGATATTCGTGTGTTTGTTTTGTCAACCTAAATACAGTAAATAAAAGTTACAGCCTTTAAACTTCCAACTGCTGGGTACAAGCATCCTCTCAATTTTTGACAGTACGTTTGTTTTTGTATTCTTATTATAAATTTTGATTTTAAATGCATAATATATAGCTCCGTGTTATAAATGTAACCCTGCTTTGTTTTTTTCTTCTTTTTCGGTTCAGTTTAACAAAATTGCAATGTCATTGGTAAATACCTACCGTGAAACCTGGCAACTGCCATTTTTGGAAGGACTTAAAAGTTTAGGACCAATTTTCTTACATAAAAGGTACTCTCAGACTAGGCATCAATGTTAAAAGTGACACTATATTCTTCATAGATGTATTTATTAGTGATTTAAACAAAGATTTACAACAAAAAGACAAAATATTCAAAAGTATAAACGGATAAGTTATCCTTTAACAACAGCGTTTATAATGAAAATAATAGGATTTGACTTCATAGTTGAAGGTTTGTTTACCTCATAATGTTATATACAATACTCAGAGTTATGACTTGCTCCTTTATCTGTGCTGCGAGTAGAAAAATTTACACTTATGGTAAAGTTGCCTTCTTATTTTTCAATTTTTCGTACAAACGTGAAAATGTATGTCAGGGTTGCCAAAACATTTTTATTACGTACTTTACTTCATTTTTTTAATAAAAACTTTCACAATAATTAATTTCTTGAACAAAAATCTTAAACACACTAAACAAAAATACTCTCCTCTAAATTTGAGAGTCAAATTGATGCAATAATAAACTTGAATCGATCTTTTCTAAAGAAGAGATGCCTAATGAGCAAACGGCTCACCTGATGGTAATGGATGGAACTGCAGATGCATTGCCGCCCAAAAGGAGTAAGCTCTTTTCTTGAAGGTCCCTAAGTCGCGTTAATCAGGAAAATCTCTGGTGGTAGTCGATTCCTCAAGGTAGTTGTGCGAGGAAGAAAACTTCTTTTAAATCGCACAGTGGTGGACTGCCAGTCATCCAGATGGTATTGTGAGTTTGGTTGCGATGTGCGACAGTGAAATTGTGCGGGTGGGTTTTATGTTAATTAGTCCGAACAATTCCTCAGAGCACTTCCCGTGGTAAATGCGATAAAATATGCAAAGAGATGCAACATCAATTCGCAGGGCCAGTGAGGCAAGCCATTCGAAAAGAACTTGGTCACTGACGATTTGTACGGATCTGTGCTGGATGCGATCAAATGAAAGGAGCTGGCACTAGGGAGCCCGAGGTAAGAGATGGGAACAGTATTCCATGTGTGGCTAAACCTGCGCCGTGTAAAGTTGCAGGCGGTGTGCCTGCATGAAATACTGTCCCGCTCTGCTGAAAACTCCAAGCTCTTTATAGGCCAATTTGGCCTTCTCTTCCAAGTGACATGAAACTGCACGTCTCTCGATATGACAACGCCGAGTATTCCGATACTGGCTGAGGCAGCAAGGGAGTGCCTTGAAACAATCTATTTCAATTATAGTATAGATAAAAAATAAAGTGTGTCGTTATAATTTGTAACGAGTATCTGTTTTTTATTAGACATCATTATCATTATATTACGATCAGGTAATTTCAAATTCAAAATATTTACAGCCAACCTAAATATGGTTCCTCAAAATATCAAAACATTCATTATCATTAAAAATGATAGTGTTATTTGGGTTCAAATTATGTAACATCAACACACTTTGTTGAAAATAGAGTAGTAATAATATAATTAATACTTTACCTTTACATTTACTTAACGTTTATACGTTTCTCTTTTATTTTCCTTAACTTTTGATGAAGATGAATTTATTGAGAACTCATTTGGTAAATATAATATAATATAAAATGTATGTAATATAAAAAAGTATAGCACGCGAAATCAACGCGCAGATTAAGTGGAAATCCTTTGTAATTTTTTTGATAATTAATTTTGTTTTTAACATTGTTTACACGTTAATTATGTTATCTTAACTCATACATAAATATACAACTATTTATACACTCCCTTATGCATGGTGAAACCTGAACGTTAACGAAAAAATATAATATATATGACATAAAATTCATTTCAGCAAAATTATTTAATCTTTCCTGTAGTGTCAGAGCTTATTGTGTTTAAAGATAGGCACCAACAAAGACTAAAATATTGTAATTGTATTGTTTGCTGTATCAACAAAGGAGTATATCTAAATTAAAATTTTCAAAAAAGTACGTAAGTATTATGTAAGTATAGATTTGAACGCTTTTTAATGATAAAGAATGTATATAGATTTAAAACTTACGTTTTTATGGTATCCTAATATACGCATTATTTCTTCATTTGTGTAATCAGCGAAACTGTTTATATCGTACACAGCTGTATCTTGGATTCAGTTTAAATAATTAATCTTTAAAAGAGATGTAACAAACGCCTCGTAGTGAATTTCCTTGTCGTTTTCCTTTTGATAGTGCTTTTGTGTAATCATGTTGAAATTTCTCGAACAACTCGGGGGAATCCTTTAAATCATAATATGGCTTTCTTTAATCGCCTCACTAAATGTCACAAAAGATAAAGCAAAGATCAAGGTGTATTTTAACAGAGGCATCGTGTTCCTTTGTAATTGTAGAACGCTGAAACAATCTTATAAATGATCGGATTTTTATTACCATGACTGTTGCATTAACCATAACTGAATTGGAGGGCTTGTAAAGTATTTAATATATATTATATATAATTAAATCGCTTAATTGTTCATGATATGCACGTTTTCAACATTACAACTAGGTTATCAGTATTGAACATTGCATTAAAATGTGTTCAGAATTAGCATGCTTAACATGAATTAGGTATATATGCGTTCCTAATTAAATGTTAATTAACGTCCAAGACTAATAATGGAATAAAATGTATTTTTTCTACCTAAGCAATTTCACAGCTAAGAGTTCAAAGAAAGAAGGCCACAGATTCGTTGTCATATCTAAAGACTTGTATCAATTGCCTCAACGTACCCTTTAAATTTGAATACATCAATAACATCACCACTGCCGTCTCCAGGGTCAGAGAATTGGGTAAGCCAAACATTTTATTGGTGTTTTTAAGGCTTATGGATCTTGCAGATGTCATAAGAATTCACTATAGGAAAGACTAAAAAAAAGTTATGGTTAGGCCATAGATGGTAGTATCACAATGTAGCGCGACTGCAAGCCAAATATAAATACCCGAAGTTATGTTGTTGCAAATTATTTTAGATGTTACATTGCATATGTTTAATGACACTTTACCGATAATGTTATCCGACACTATTGCGATGATATTACGGAAGTCAGTCTGAGCGAGATTAAAATGGCTCTCCAGCACCTTAAAAACCGGCAAGTCTTCAGACAAGGATAGAACAAAAGCGAAACTTTAGAAAACGGGTGGAAGACCAGAACTCAAAATCCTCCAGAAGCTTTTTAATTTCGTCGTCCATGGTGGTACTACACCATAGGCGAGGAGCATAAGCGCGGTGTTCTTGCTCTTCAAGAAAGGCGACAACGCTTTCTTGAAGGACTACAAACCGATTTCCCTTTTGAACCGTATCTACGTGCTGTTCGAGAGTCGTCTCGCACGCAGATTATACGACATCCAACCTACCGAACAAGCCCGTTTCCGAATAGACTTTAGCAACTTAGACTAAATATATACCCCTCGGTAAATTGAATAGAAAACCGGGGAATACGATCTGCCACTATGTAGTCCATGACTATAGAAAAACCTTTGATTTCGTCGAAATTTGGGCAGTGCTGTAGTCCCTTCAGCGGTCCCAAGTTGACTATTGATATATCGAAGTCCTGAAGTGTTAGTACAGTAGACAGAATACCAGACCTATCCAACTGCAGAAAAATGTAAGACAGAGTGACGTTATATGCCTGAAACTCTTCACCGCTGCATTGGAAGCAAGCTACTGGACTGGAAAGAATGCGGCATTAATATTAATGGCAAGTACATCACTCACCCTCGATTTGCCTATGACATAGTCCTTGTGGCTGAATCGCTGGAAGACCTCAGCACTATGCTCAATGACCTCAATAGTGCGTCTCAACGTCCATGTCACACCTATGCCGGTAATCGTCAGGAGCACTCAACTCGAAGTTGTTAATGAGTATGTTTACCTGGGACAAATAGTACAACTAGGTAAGTCCTAGTTTGACCAAAAGGTCAATCGACGTATTTAACTCGGCTGGGGAGAGTTTGGGAAATTACTACTCATCTTCTCATCAGAAATAACTTAAAATCTGGAAACAAGATTGTACAACCAGTGTGTGTTGCCAGTGAGACGTGTTATTTCACTGCTGGCCGTAGCAGGAAGCTTAAGGCCGCTTAGCGAGGGAGATATTCTTGGGGATGGTTATGCTTGGGGTTTCTCTGCGTGATAAAGTTAGAAATGAGGATACTACGGATGTAGTAGAACCAAAGTTACCTGAAGTGACAACCACGGATAGCTAAGCCGAAGTAGCAATGGGCCAAACATAAAGCTTGAAGAACCGACAACCAATCGTCCTCGAAAAAAGGACCTCGAGTGACAGCCTCATACCGGTAGGCATATGTATGGACGTAGGCAACCCCCCACTAGAAGAAGTGACGACCTGGTAATACATGCAGGGTGTCGATGAATGCAGGTGGCTCAGAGCCGTGCCTTGTGGTATTCTTTCGTGGAGGCCTATATTCAGCAGTTCACTTGTGAAGGGCTTTAACGATGTTTGGTGTGTCCTTACAATAATTCAAGTATAATTTCGGCTTAGGTTCCATGTCAGTTGAAATGTAGGAATCACTCCGTTCGGGACATGGCTGCTTTAGAAGGAGCTTAAGCCATAAATTTGATTTGAATTCTATCGAACGATTCCTCCGTTATTTAGATATAAGGCAACTTTGAAATCGTAAAATATCAATTCGCTAAAATGTTCTTGACGCAAATCCGCTTTCAATATAACACGATATTTCAATTTAGCTCGTAAAAAATGTAGAAGAAAATTTGAAATTTGACCATTCATTCTTGTTAGTAACAATAATTTTGAAATAAAATATAATTGTACCGTTCTCTAACAAATAAATTATTTTTACAAACTTTTTGCGTAGGCTGTCCTTAAATCCATCAATTTATATAGCAACTCAGTAATAAAAGTTCTGGATTGATGATATTTCAGGTTCAGTAATTGGAATTTATAACTGTGTTATCGATCAGGTGTTCACAATCCATCATTAAAATCCTTATCTAATTGCGAATGGAATAAGTAATCGAAATGTTAGATTTTTTCAAATAGGAAAAGTAGATTTTTTACCTTGATACGTTGTTTGCCTAGAATTCCTTACATTCTACAGCAAGACCTTTTTAGAGATAATTATGATTGCTAAATGAAATACCAATGCAAATTCTTTTAAATCCCACTTAAATAAAATATCATCATCATCATCATCATCACAGCCCTTCACAAGTCCACTGCTGAACATAGGCCTCCCCCAAGTAATGCCACAAAGCACGGTCCTGAGCCACCTGCATCCATCGACTTCCTGCATATCTTACCAGGTCGTCACTCCATCTAGTGGGGGGTCGCCCTACACTACGCCTACAGGTACGAGGCTGCCACTCGAGAACCTTTCTTCCCCATCGGTTATCGGTTCTTCGAGCTATATGGCCGGCCCATTGCCACTTCAGCTTACTAATCCGTTGGGCTATGTCGGTCAATCTGGTTTTACTGCGGATATCCTCATTTCTGAGTCTATCACGCAGAGAAACTCCGAGCATAGCCCTCTCCATAGTTCGCTGAGCGACCTTGAGCGTCCTCATACGGCCAGCAGTGAAGGTCCACGTCTCTGATCCGTAAGTCATCACTGGCAACACGCACTGGTTGTACACTTTAGTTTTCGGAGATTGAGGTATACCTGACGAGAAGATGTGTCGTAATTTCCCGAACGCTGCCCAGCCGAGTTGAATCCGTCGATTGACCTCTCGGTCGAAGTTGGACTTACCTAGTCGGAATATTTGCCCAGATAAACGTACTCGTCAACAACTTCGAGCATAGTGCTCCCAACAACTACCGGCATAGGTGTGACATGGACATTAAACATAATCTTTGTTTTGTCCATGTTCATCTTAAGACCTATCCGTTGGGAGGCACTATTGAGGTCATTGAGCATAGTGCTTAAGTCCTCCAGCGATTCTGCCATAAGGACTATATCGTCGGCAAATCGAAGGTGAGTGATGTACTCGCCATTGATGTTAATACCGTATCCTTTCCAGTCCAGTAGCTTGAAAACATCTTCCAAAGCAGCGGTGAAGAGTTTCGGGGATATAACGTCACCCTGTCTTACACCTCTCTGCAGTTGGATAGGTTTCGAGCTCTGGTTCTGTACTCGGATAGCCATCGTAGCCCTACTGTACAAACACTTCAGCACTTCGATATACCGACAGTCAACTTGGCACCGCTGAAGGGACTGCAGCACCGCCCAAATTTCGACGGAATCAAAGGCTTTCTCATAGTCCACATACGCCAGGCAAAGTGGCAAATTGTACTCTTCAGTGTTCTGTACAATCTGCCGCAGGGTATGTATGTGGTCTATGGTACTGAAGCCTTTTCGGAAACCGGCTTGTCGGAAACCGGGAGGCTGGAAGTCGTCGAGTCTGCGTGCGAGACGATTCGTAATGACTCTCGAAAACAGCACGTAGACGCGGCTCAGAAGGGAAATCGGTCTGTAGTTCTTCAAGAGAGCGTTGTCGCCTTTCTTAAAGAACAAGACCACCGCACTTCTGCTCCACGCCTCTGAAGTAGTGCCACCATGGAGGACGGAATTGAAGAGCTTCTGAAGGACTTCAAGTACCGGTGTTCCACCCGCTTTCAGAAGCTCCGCTGTAATTCCATCCTCGCCTGGGGCCCTGCCGTTTTTATGGTGCTGGAGAGCCATTCTAATCTCGCTTAGACTGACGTCCGGGATATCATCGGAATAGTGTCGGATAAGACTTGCTCTTGGATCGTTACTCACACTTGCGTGTGGCTCCAACGATGATGTGTACAGCTGCCCATAGAACCTCTCAATCTCACTCAAAATCTCAGGTGTCCCGGAAACGATGCTGCCACACTCAGTCTTCAGCCTTGACAGTTGGCTCTTTCTGGCAGACAGATCTCTGGCAAAGACTTTGGAGCCCTGGTTCCGCTCGATCGCTTCTTTAATACGAGCAGTATTAAAGTTGCGTAAGTCTCGCCGCATGCATTTGGAGATCTGTCTGTTCAGTTGCCTGTATGCTGTCAAATCTGTTGACGATTGCAGCCTCATCTGCCGTCTAACAGCCATGAGATTAAGAGTGTGATCAGAGAGTTTTTGTGTTCTTCTGCGGCGGGTCTTGCAGAACTTAGCTCCGACCGCATGGATAGTTTCCACGAGCTTGTCATTCATATCGTCCACTGCATTGCAATCTTGTAGGCACTGAAAGCGGTTGTGTAACTCGAGCTGAAAATTTTCGGGATTTTGGATCAGAGCACGAGGGGGACGGAGCGTTGACTTCATTAGACGAGACCTCTCCAACTTAACGTTTAGGTTCAGTGTGCCTCTAACCATTCGGTGATCGCTGCCAGTTTTCACCCTTGCGATCACTGAGACATCACTGAACAGTTGGCGTCTGGTCGTCATAATGAAG